AATTTTCAGAAAAGTCCACTTTCATCTCTGTAAAATTAATCTTATGCCATTGTGTCTTCAACAGCATGCTCTCCGAAATCCAATGAACAAGCAAACATTTTCTTGCACAAAAAGTCAGAATTTGGTAAAAATTCTTATGGTATTTATTGCTACAAGCACGGTCAGTAAGCCCAAGCAAAATGAATAAAGAATTGAAAGTCAAATCAACAACAAATATTTCATCCATTTTTTTGTCCAATGGTAGACCAAAATTGTCATATTTTTAGGCAAAACCAAAAATGGTGTGTGAGGGTGCCAATTTTAAATTTACACTTTCAACACATTGGGGAGGCGTGAGGCTCAATCATGTGGCGCAACTGAGGAGAGAATTTAACTGTTACAAACACACAATATTTTCACATTTATCCGAAACATTTCTCCACTCATTTTCGATAATATCACAATTGAGTTGATGTAAAAATTAGTCTCTCCATGTCAGATATGTCCTGAAGCACCAAGTTTGGTGTAATCTCCCAAATAAAGAAATCCCTTCTTGGAGCATTATATTTTCAGTGAGCTGAACAAAAGACATCATAATAGACCCCTTGAAAAAAAATCATTTAATATCTTTCATTTAATAACTTTCAATCAAGGTATAAACTGTGCATTGTTCCATTTGCACACCAGCATCATCTGGCCCCTGTGAGAAGATTTTTTTCCAAAACAGAAATGCTCAACAAAAAATGGAATCGCTTCCGTTCAGCCACTTTGGTAAAACTTTTTTTTTTAAATTAAAAAAAACACTGAATCATATCACTGTTTTAATTCTTGAAACCACATACAATAAGGCGGACGGGCTGACATATTGTTTCGACAACAATTGTCTACAACACAATTGACAAGAAAAAGGAAAATAATTGTAGATTACAAAAAAGTCTTTGCCTCCTGTATTGAACGGTGCAAATACCTCTTTAGTTGCCGACAATAATGTGATATGTCCTTCCTCGCTTGCCGAACAGTGAGGTAACATGACAGTCTCAACCCGTAATGTAGGAATAATAAATGTCGCCAAATGTGACAAAACTGCAATCGATGGTCACCAAAATTTATGTTGGGATTTTTCCTTATGCTCACATCAACCTCTGAAAATATTAGAATTAGAAAAAATATTCAAAATGTCCTTGGGTATTTTGAAAGGCGCTTATAAATAAAATGTATTATTATTATTATCGCCCAAGTATGAGGGATTTTAGGGTGGTTTCCTCTTCACAGAGGCGCTCATTACAAATGTTGTCACTTCACGAGAGAAATGCATCGTTCATAAAATACAAATCCAAAAACATGCATGACAGGCTGATTGAACACTCAAACTTGTCCCTTAGTGTGAGTGTAAGCGCGGATGGTTGTTCTTCTATGTGTGCCATGCAATTGGCTGGCAACCGGTTCAGGGTGTACCCCGCCTACTGCCCGAAGCCAGCTGGGATAGGCTCCGCGACCCTTGTGAGGATAAAGCAGTTCAGAAAATGAAGGGATGGATGGATGGATAAAAGCCATTCCACTGTCCTTTACATCTTTACTTTATAAGAAGCCCAATCAACCATTTAAATTTGAACACCATTCATAACATATCCTTCGTGACGTTTAAAAACACATTTTCCGAAAGTACTGACATGTCTTCCTCCACATATAATTTGAATTAATGCTATTAATTGCCTTTGTATCATTTTATTTGAGATAGGTTAGGAGTAGGCCGGATAAATTAACCGAGATAAACTGTCACTCGCTGCAGACATCTGTTAAGCATGGACTTACATTTATCCATATTGCTTCAAAATTTGATTTCCATTACGGTAGGGTCCTTAGAAATAATTTATACAGTACCCAACTATTTAACATCTTTCTTACTTGTCATACCATTCATTGCCTGTAGAGGTCAGTCATGGAATGTCAATAACTCACATTTATTCACATGAAGTTTCACAACCCAGAAGCCTTTGAGAATACAAGTACTGTACATACATGTTCTCAGGGAATTTTATCATTTTCCAAAAACAAGGTTGTAACGTATGCTAGATGACTTATCACTATTTCCCAATTCAAAAGCGGCACCGGTTGTTGTTTTGGCAAAAAAAAAAAATTCTGGTCAAAATTATTTTAAAACTGCAGTAAATTAGTAGTCAAGTAAAAATTAGGCTCCGACTTCTCATCGAATTCAGCTGTTTGCGCCACTGCACGATCTGCTACGCATGCGCAGAAAGGCGATTAGTACGGCATTGACACGAAACAAAAAAAAACATCGGTGACTTTGATTATATGATTATAATTGAAATATAATTGAATTCAATGTAAATAGTAAAATTAATATTACAAATGTAATAATTCATAGTTACACCTGAATATATATTTTCCCCAGCACAGTCACAGGATTTCCACTGAACGTCAACAGTCTCGCGCAATTTTAAACAAATCCGCAACGAACTGTGAGTACTGTAATATGTTTTGGCTGAGGGACCATGGATGTGGGCTCAGCCGAAGTGTGGAACAAGGGCGTATAAGCTCCGGCCTTCCTGTGTGGAGTTTGCATTTTCTCTCCGTGCTTGCGTGAGTTTTCGCCGGGTCCTCCGGTTTCCTCCCACATTCCAAAAACGTACATGGCAGGCTGATTGAACACTCCAAATTGTCCCTAGGTGTGAGTGTGAGCGCGAATGGTTGTTCGTTTTTGTGTGCCCTGCGATTGGCTGGCAACCGGTTCAGGGTGTCCCCCGCCTACTGCCCAAAGACAGCTGGGATAGGCTCCAGCACCCCCTGCAACCCTACTGAGGAGAAAACGGTTCGGAAAATGAAAAAATGAATAAATCGGGATATAGCTTTCCAAAATTTGTTGGTATCAGGACATTGCCAGAACAAAGTGAATCGTCGTTTCAGGGGACATTCCACAAAACAAACAATCAACACAGATGTTTTTGTTGAACTTAAGAAGATAATGTGTATCATTTTAAAAGAGATTTCCCTGACGTTATTAGTCAGAAGGTATTTGTATGGAAGAGACCATATTTTTTCCCAGCGTAGATTATCACCAAAATCAGACCAGTAAGAAATAATGTTCGGGGTTGTCAAGATATCTTTGAAACAGGGAGCGTATGTTACGCTTGTTACTTCTGACTGATAACGTTAGACAGGATTTGCCAATAGCAGTCATTTTGGGGTTGGTAAGCGGGTTGGGGACACCCTACATACTCGTACCCTCAACGGAAGGTGCAGTTAAGGGGTGCAAGGGTGGAAGTGTGAATATTTGGACAGGGCCAGACAATTTTCCAAACATTTGTAAAATTAGAACGATCCTATCCTCCAAGTGCTAAATTTCTTAGGTAAAAACAAGAATTCAAGGAGGCTCTAGAGTGCACTTTTCTCAGTCATAAATTGGAAAAGTGCGACTTGCTACCTTTTTAGAATGCAGCAAAAGTACGTGATGTCTGCAATTAACCCATTTAATCCCACCGGTAACATTTGTGAAGGTACAACAATAAATTATTACTGATTACTTATAAGGGCTACCAATGACACCTGATTTTGACTTTTAAATGTGGGAAAATTTTGGGATTAAATGTGTTAATTCTCCTAGACTATTAAATGTTTTCTTGTCTTATCTTATTTTACCTGTCTTTCAACTGCAAAACACTCCAGTCCAATCGGTGGCGGTAGTGCACCAAAAGTTGGTTTTCTCACCGCCATATAAAATTCACAAAGGAGCATGAGGAGGAAGAAAAAGAAACAAAGGAGGAAGTAATAGTTGAGCAGTTTAACAACACAAAAATTACATATTTTGAAAGAATGTCTTTGTTTCAAGTAAACAGGTAGGAATGAGTGGCCGTTTACTAAAGGTGTTTTATGTCTTACCCTCGTTTGAGCAAACTTAAGGAGTTCTTCGTGACACGTGTATCCAATTCATGTAAATTTGCCATGGGAAACGTGCCCGAGTTTAATTCAGAACTGATCCCGGTTCCATTTCGGGTGGAAATGGGTATTTAAAATCTATTCGCACTCCATAGACACGTGCTAATTATTCAGGTTGGCTCGGTTCTTGCAGTTCTACTTCCTAGAAGACTTTCATGTACTTAGAACGTTTTGATCATGGACTCATTTTTGCTGACTATTGCGGCAACTGCGCGACCCTAGTGGACACAAGCGGTTCAGATAATTGATTACAATACAAAAAATGTATTATATAGCGCTGTCACAACAGCTGAAGCTTTAACAAAGCGCTTACGTCTTCAAAATGCGATCACCTTTACTTACTTTTTACACCTTAGAATATGAATCAATACTTTTAAGGATGTACGTCATTGTGACCTCAGAGTTGATCAAATAATAGAATTGATTATCCTGATAGGAAAAATAATAGCTCACACACTGATGCACCATTCCCGGGGTGAACTGCGGATTAACTAACTTGCCCATACTCTACATTTAACATTTCATGTTTAATGAGTAGAACCTGATCGGTGTTAGGGCTACTGCCTCATAAGTACCACGAAGTGTTTATATTTTAGTCACTCTTAATTGTGTTTTCACATATTCTATTCATAAAATGCCTATTCATTGTTGAGTTTTTTTTCAAGCAAAAATGAAAAATCAACTCTGATCAAATAATCAAAATTTTGTTGTTGTGAATAACATCATCGCTGGGAAAAGAGAGGCACGAATTTGATGATCCGTCGTGCATGAGCTTTATAGTGCCAATTTATTTGTTCCACATCTTGGAAATATGATATTGTAAACACGAAGTGAGACTTAATCTTCGGTCGCCCTGTGGTTATGTCTTGTTTTAAACAAAATAAATTGGAAATGTTATAAGTCCCGTCCCCTGCTATTGGGTTCTACCATTTACCTGTGCTGAAGGAAATGCTTTCACCTGTTTTTTATATAAGGCAAGTGGGGAAAGATTTATTTATTTATTTATGTATGTATGTATGTATGTATGTATGTATGTATGTATTTATTTATTTATTCATTTATTCATTCATTCATTCATTCATTCATTCATGCGGACAAAATCTTATTTTAAAGCCATTTTGTCCAGCTGTAGGATAATTTTAAACTTGGTTAGCCTTCACGCATCTCGTTAATACTCAAGATGTCTTCTTTGAGATTTTTTTCAAACACACGAAATATTTCTGGTGTTTTGATATGTTTCACGCAGGTATTTTGGAGACGAGTTTGATGGAAGTACTTCAAAAGAGTCCCGGTCCCTGGAGTTACTTGGCCAACTGCATCAGAAGGCCAAAGAGAAGCAGAAGCAAGGTTTCACAGAGGACAGAATACAGTGTTCTGAACCACATGCAGATCATCTTGATGTTAGAAAGAAAAGAAAAGCTGACAACGTCAGCAGCCAAGAAAGCCCAAGACGTAAGAAAAAAAAATCAAGGGATCCAGTCATGAATGTTTCGGCCAATATTCATTCAGATCCTGTTGAGGATGAAGAGAAGAGAAGACAGAAAGTTGGGAATGAGATGAAAAACAATATCGAGTCAGGTGTGTGCTGGCTTTTTATCCATCTCGCATTTTCAGCAGCAGAAATCTACAATGCTTGTTAATCCTAACGCAATTACATGCGTTGGTTTGTTCCTTTTCAGACTGCATAGTTAATAGACTTTCAGAGCCTAGTGCCATTGGTAGAGATGGAGAGGTTGAAGAGACAGAAGATAATATTCCGAAAGAAACCTCAGGGAACTCTTCTTTTCCATCCAGTTTCACAGTTCTGGGAGGGTTTGAAAACAAACCAGTTCAAAAGGTACAGTGAGTTGTTGATGCTCACTGAAGCATCTTGGGTGTTAATGTTCCAAGTTGTAATTCGTATGAAAAGTAAAAAGTAAAGTGTCCTCACTTTCTTTCTTGCCCATGATTGGCACATATAAGTATGTAGAATGTTACTGTAAATTACTGTAACACTCTCCAAAGCATGCCATTTGAAGAATCTAATGTCAAATACACCAATGCTTGTTGTGGAGTGGTTTCCATCCTGTGTGCATGCACACCTTTTTTCACTTTGTTATAATGGTGCGTTACCACTTCACAGGTTCATAGGGTCCTGCCTCAGTGGCTGGCTCAGCCTGATGTTATCCCCCGAGACATGAAAAGTAAACTGGTGCCTTGCTCTGACATCAGAGGACTTAGTGTGTCGCTGCTAAACCAGCTGCACAATCATGGAATTCAGCACTTCTTTCCAGGTGACTGTAAATTCGAGGTTTGTTTGTAACACGTTTAGTACTTAACATGTAGAAGTTGCTCATGTGACCTTTCTTCACAGTACAAGCAGAGGTCATCCCAGCCATCTTGGAGGGTGCACAGAATGGACTACTGGTCGGACAAGCTGGCTATGAGCTCAGAGATTTTTGTGTTTCTGCTCCAACAGGCAGTGGCAAGACTCTGGCTTATGTCATCCCTGTAATACAAGTGAGCTTCCCACAAGCAAAATTGCTTCTACCATGCAGCACATTTCAAGTACTGTTGTCTAATTATTCCTCTTTTTTTCCTTTCCGCATTACACACTGGTTCTCTTAGCTACTCTCGTCATTTAGTCATTAAATCAGGAACGATATCCCAATGCACCGTAGGACACAATATACAGTCACCGTGATCTGTAAGGGATCTTTCTAATTATGTTTCAAAAGTCTAATTATGTTTCAAAAGAATCAGAATTTTTCTCACTGTATTGAGGAATCATTGATGCCTGTGGGTTTGAGATCTAGAAGCAGTATTGTTCCTAAGTCCTCCTCTTCGAACGATGCTGCCGCTAAGGAAATGTGTTGTGTTGAACAACATTCAGATTTTGTCACCAACCTTTTAGAAACTGAAAGCTACTTTTTGGGTACTAAGTTACATGTGAAGGGCGACCAGTTTGATACACACTTCCAACATAACATACTTGCTCAAATTACCCAACATAATTGTATGTTATTAATAATTAATGATATTCGCTTATGTTAATGATTTCTCACAGTAATTAGGAAATGGATAAATATCAATATGCAAAATTTTTTTCCATATAAATCTCTGCTAATGGTCACATTTTCAAATGACCACTTCAACAACATTCCTAGGAAATCACAATGTCCCATCATTGAACTAAAAATGTCAATGCTTCACGATCTTGTTCAAAGGTTTGTCAAAAACAGTAGACAAATAGTCAGGCACATTAATTTCAAACACTCTTCTGCGAATAGACCAGTAAATTATTCTTGTTGTATTGTGTATAATTTTTGCTACATTTAGAACAAAATTATATTACTTGAATTTGCAGGCATCCATATTTTCATTTTAATGTAAAATATATAGGGAAAGGATACTTGCTATTCACATGGAATATAAAGTGCGACGTGCCATCAATAGTAATTTTCTGTAAACAATTGATGCTGCCTGCCCCCAGTGATTATGATTGCCAATACCACTAGTTCAAACAACAAATGTACCACAAGCGATGGTCCCAAAACCCTTTCATAATAATTAAAATGCTAACAAACATCTTCAAACATTGTTGTACCCTTTATTGAATACATTAAAAAGCCTATAGCTAAGCATGCACAAAACCATTGTACAGTACCTATGTGTACGGTATATCAAGACCCAGGCTCATCCTCGGGCACAGGATTTAGTGGGGTTTCTGATAGTCATTTGTATTCATGCTATTCACAGCATTTATAGTGATTACAAAAGTTTTTTAAAAAAATGCACACATACACCACCAGGACACAGAACATCTGTGTGAATTTGCACTTGTGTTGGGTGTGTATGGGTGAAATTAGTTATTAGTTTGCCCTTGAGTGGTGAAGGTCCTATTTAGCTGACTGAACCTTGTGTGTTAGCCTTGGTTGTTGTGAGTCACGAACTGCTCCACTGTTGTGCATTTTTCCACAAGGCTCAATTCTGGGGCCTCTTCTGTTCTCACTCTATCTGCTCCCTTTGGGTTCCATATTGAGGAAACGTGGTATTTCCTTTCACTGCTATCAGTGATGTGTTCCTCGAGCCGGTCCTTGGCCTCGAGGACCGAAGGTCGGTCCTTGGTCCTTGGCCTTGGCCTCGGGAGTCAAGTCCTTGGCCTTGGCCTTGGGAGTCAAGTCCTTGGCCTTGGCCTTGGCCTCGGGTTGCCGGTCCTCGGACACAATGAGGGATTAGAGCCTCGAATCCCATGTCCACAGGTTTAAAGTGGGTCCGAGGACCGCAAAAATCATGAAGGAATCAAATAAATTCCATCCAGGAAAACCCATATTGATGGATTAAGCTGGCGCTTTAAAAGGGGCGGGTCTGCCCCTGACAGGTGACAGTTAGCGCAACGTATAAAGAGCGGCATCACAGTTAGTTTCAATCACGGTTTATTTCCGTTCGCGATCGGCAGTTTAAATAGCGTGTCAAGTCTTTCTGTAACAGTGGTGTCTTTTATGTAGTTATTTTTGCACAGTCGTCACGTTTGTGCGATGGCACTAGAATGTTTGTTTGAACCAAGTAATTTGCGTTACAGCTGGAGTCAATAATGCCGGCACTTCACTTCCGGGTTTGGCCGTTGGGATTTGGAGTCCTTTTGCTCGATTCCAGTTATGTTT